AAATGGGTAGAATAGAGAAAAAGATGGATGAATGGGAGGGAGGGAGGAAGGGAGGAAGGAAGATAAGTCCTGTCTTAGCCCTGGGCTACCACCGGTGCCCCCGACACGAGTGATGTCGAGCTGGCTATGCCTACCCTCAAACACAACCCTGATACGGCCCTCAATGAAATCAAGTTTGACACCCCTGTTCTCAGGCCAGGTGACTTTGTGTGCATCTGGGAACAGGTGGGGTGTCTCAAAGGATGGGCTGGCAAACAATACATCCCCAAATATTTTCTCTTTGACTCCTGGGTTGGTGTAGAGCAGGGGTCTCAAACACTATTTACGCTGGAGGCAGAGTCTGGGTGAGGCTGGGCCGCACATAGAAGTGTTCAGCCAGCTAGCGACGCATGGAGAGCACATTAATATGATACTTTCATATCACGGTGGGGGCCACAGGATATCGGACTGCAGGCCGCAATTGGCCCGTGGGCCGCGAGAATGAGGCCTCTGGTGTAGAGAAAGGAGGGGTTGGCTTCCTTGCAATAGGAAAGGATGGTTCCCCTCCGTGTGTGTGTGTGTGTGTGTGTGTGTGTGGTGGGGCGATGTGTGTCCGTGTGTGTGGTGCGTTTTTGTGTGTGTGTAGTCCTGTGTCCCTCCTTGATGTTGAAGCTGTAGCAGAAGAAAGGTTGGCCCACTAGGGGTTGGGGATTATGGAGAGGCGAGGAGGGCAGGGGTGGGCTGCTATACCGGTTTGCACCGGTTCGGCTGAACTGGATGTTCATTTTTACACCTGGCTCGCCGAACCGGGAGTTGCAACGACTGGCTGGCCCCATCCGCCCCTCCCCTCCCAAGATCTCCACATGGCCCATTTTGGATCCTAGGTAAGGGCAGGGCCTGCGTGGAGGCTGAAGGAGGGTGAAAAACAGGTTGAACCAGAAGTTCCGAAAGGCCGGAAATGGGCTCGTTTTCGGTCTCCACAGAGCCTCTGGGGCCCAGGGAGGCCATTTTCGCCCTCCTGGAGACTCGACGAAAGCCTCCTGAGTCTGGGGAGGGTGAAAATCCCCCCCCCACCCTGGTGCAGGAGGCTGACTAGGCCACACCCACCTGGCAGAGAACTGCTTGCTAAAAAAAATTTTTTTTGAAGCCCGCGAAGGACATCCGTTGACATCCCTTTCTCCTCCGCTCAGGTGCGTGCACTGAATCCCGAAGGCTCGTTGTGCACCTTCGGCAGCGAAAAAGTCCGGCTCACCTACCTCAGGAACAAAGGTGCAGGTAAGGAGGAGGGGCGGGGCGCCAAGCAGGTAAAAGAAGGGAGCCAGGAATTTTGCCGAGGGAACGGGAGTTGCATTCGCATGACAATTTTGACCCGGGTCTGAATGCTGTTGTTTTGTGGGTCTGCAGATTGATTGATTTAATGAAATTTGCTTGCCATCCATCTCGCCGGGCGGCTAATGTTAAAATAAATCCAGAAATATATATATTTACAGATAGTCCTCGACTTAACAGTTCATTCGGTGATTGATCGAAGTTATAACAGCGCTGAAAAATGTGATTATGACCATTTTTCACACTTATGGCCAGCATTCCCATGATCATGGGGTCCAAATTCAGATGCTTGGCCACTGGTTCATACTTGTGACCGTTGCTAAGTGATGTCCTTTTGCAACCTTCTGACAATCAAAGTCAATGGGGAAACCAGATTCACTTAACAACCAAGTGACTACTTGTAGTAATCCACGGCAGTAATTCACTTCATAACTGTGGCAAGAAAGGTCGTAAAACGGGACAAAACTCATTTAACCAATGTCTCGCTTAGTAACAGAAATTTTGGGGTTCAATTGTGGTCGTAAGGCAAGGACTATCCGTAGTTATACATGCAAAAATGTGCATTAACACTGCAATAAAGCACAAGTTATCAGATTGTGCTGCATCTCACAATAACCAACTAGCCAAGAGGTACTAATCCCACTCTGTGTAAAGCCTTAGTAAGGCCACGCCTGGAGTCCTGCATCCAGTTTTGGTCACCACACTATAAAAATGAGATTGAGACTCTGGAAAGAGTGCAGAGAAGAGCAACCAGGATGATGAGGGGACTGGAGGCTGAAACATACGATGACCGGTTGCAGGAACTGGGCCTGGCTAGTCTAGGGAAGAGAAGGACCAGGGGAGACAGGAGAGCAGCCTTCCAGTATTGGAGGAGCTGCCCCAGAGAGGAGGAAGGGGGTCAAGCTATTCTCCAAAACACCTGAAGGCCAAACAAGGAATAATGGATGGAAACTGAACAAGGAGAGATTCAACCTGGAAATAAGGAGAAACTTTCTGACAGTGAGAACAATCAACAATGGGAAAGAAGTTGCCTTCGGAAGTTGTGGGAGCTTCATCCCTGGAGGCTTTCAAGAAGAGACTGGACTGTCCTTTGTCAGAGGTGCTGTAGGGTCTCCTGCTTGGGTGGGGGGGTTGGACTAGATGACCTACAAGGTCCCTTCCAGGTCTGTTAATCTGTTCACTAAACCATTCACTAACCACTAACAAATTTGATGTGAGGAGCCTGACTTTCCTTCCTTCTCCAGACCAGGATGAGTTCGAAATTCCCCAGACCACTGATAACAGCCGGCGGTACCTCATGAGGACTAGGCACAAGCGGTGCTTCTCTTTCCGGATCACCGAGGAGGAGCGGCAACATCAGAGGAGGTGAGGCTATTCAGAGAGGGGGATTTTGTGACGGCTGCTGTTCAGAAGCTAGACGGGCTGTTGCAACATCCGGTGCCATTTTCATTTACCTCAGCCAGTGAAAAATCTGCATTGCAGGCCAAGTTTGGTTTGATTGTAATCCTGGTTCATTTCAATGTGGCTTGGCATATTACGCAAATCCAAAACGCTGGATATTTTTATTCTTCTTTGTTAAATTTGTTCGCCACCCATCTCATAACAAGGTGATTTTTTTATGACCGTTAGCCAAGTACCCTAGAGAGTCCCCGACTTACAACTGTTTTATTTAGTGACTGCTCCAAATTACAACGGCACTGGGGAAAAAAGGGACTTATGACCATTTCCCCACACTTTTTCCACCTGGCAGCATCCCCAGGGTCACGTGATCAGGCAAGTTGGCAACTGACTCACTCCGACAATCCACCCCCATTCGAATCATGAGCCTCTAGCCGCGTCTCCCAGAGTTGAAAAAAATGATTTATTAGGAGTGAACATGTCGGTGTTACCTGGGTGTAGCCGACTCTGAGACACATCATTCATTTCCCCCTTGACCCTGGTCTTCCCCCCCACCCCCTGGATGTATATTCTCCAATGGGACACCTCCATAGCCAAGAGTCATCCATCATGCTCTCCAGTAATAATCTTGTGCGCCAGAAGCTTCGGTCGCCTAGAAATTATCTATGAAAGCATTTAAGGAGTGCTGTTCTGACCCAAACCTTGTTCCAAGAAAACAAACACAAAACAGAGATAACAGCAAAACTCTTTAATGATTCTTTACGAATTCCATTCCTTCCTGGTTAAAAGGCTGTTTCAAATTAATTATTTCTGATAAGAACGAGAGCCTTGCCAAGGTTGTGCAAGGCTGCCAAGAACACTAGGTTAAGTTGCCAAGAAACATTTCAAACCCAAAAAGTCTCCAAACACCAACCAAGATATTCCGAACGTCCACAAGGCTTGAGTGCAAAAACGTCCTTGCTTCCTGCAAAGAACTCCAGTTTCTCAGCTGGCTTTTATCTCTTGAGGGAGGGGCCATTACCTTGCAGCCTTACTCCTGAGTCGCATGTGCTGCTACAGCTGCTCTTTCCTTCAAGCAGCCCTGTGCACACACACCCTGGGCACAGGCTCCTCGGGGGCCTCTTCATTGCTGCTGCCAGCCTCCTCAATCTCCGAAGGCAGCACTCCACTCCCTGATGGTCCTGGCCCCATCCCTGCCCCACACGCAGGCCCCTCATCCGAGTCCTCGCTCTCCGAGACCTCAGCCGTCCTCACCTGCTGCCAGCGAGCCACAACAAATGCACTACTTCCCCCACTCCCTTTCTGCTGGCAACTCTAAAAGACCAGAGAAATATTTTTGAGTTGACATTATGTTTATGTTGGTCGCTGTGTCCTTTTGCGACCTTCTGACAAACTAAGTCTGACTCACTTAACAACCATGTGACAAATTAAGCAGCGGAGGTGATTCGCTGAACAACTGGGACAGGGAAGGTCGTATAACGGGGCAAAAATTCACTTAGCTGTGTCTCGTCTTAGCAGCAGAAATGGTGGGCATAGTTGTGGTTCTCCGTTGAGGACCATCCGTATTGCGGTATGCTAAATGAAGAAATAATTCTGCGTTGCTTACCAATGGAAATTCTAGTCGAGCGCTGCCATACGTTATGCTGGAAGACCAGAGGTGGTCTTCAGCCGGTTCAGGCCAGTTCTGGCGTACTGGTAGTGGGAATTTTGAATAGTTTGGAGAACCGGCAAATACCACCTTTGTGTTCTGGTTCGCGGGCAGCCTGTGCAGAGGGCAGTGAAATCAGACGGTGGGGAAGAAAGGGGACCAGTCAGGGAGTCTGGAGAGGGCTCGGACGAGGGTCCTGCGTCGGATGCAGATGGGGCCAGGACCATCTGGGAGTGGGGTGCTGCCTCTGGAGTCTGGCAGCAGCGAGGCAGAGGAGCAAGGGGAGCCTGTTCCCAGTGCACGTATGCACAGAGCTGCCAGAAGGCGAGAGCAGCTGAAACAAAAGGGGAAACTCGGGAGTAAGGCTGGGAGGAGGTGATTGCCCCTCCCCTAAGGTATAAAGGAGGTGCAAAAGTAGAGAAACCTTTGCAGGAAGCAAAGTCGTTCGCTCTGTTCGGATTAATCCTTGAAGCTCTGTGTGGACTTTGTACTTCGGTTGTTTTTTTATAATTCATTTGGCACTCTAGTTGTTGGCAGCCATTCCAACGAGAGAAAGGTGGGTGCTTATCTCGAGGGACCGTTTGAGATTCATTATAGGTTGGGAATTCAAATCATTCCCAGCATTGAAATAAAACAAAGAGTTGTTTGGGCTAAGCGTGTGCTTAATTACGGTCTCGGGAAGCCTTGGTCAGAACACTTGGACTCCCCCTGCCCTTTCCTATCCTATAGTCCCTTGTTTTATAGCTCAGCACTCGATTACCACACCTCAGCTGAGCTAAAAAAACAGCTCACCCCACTAGCACTGACACAGAGGGTGGTTTTTTGAGTGCTGGATGTGCGAAGTGCGCTCTCATCGAGCCGGTAGGAAAAAAATTTGGAAAAATTTGCAATTTAAGGCCGTTGTGTGAGCCCCTCCAGGAAGTGTTTCAGGTAGTCGAGTGGCCCTGGGCTGCTGCCAGCTGGCCGGCCCCTCTGAGCAGGGTGCCCGTGTGCTAGGCGCTGCCGTCCTCTGTCCCTTGCAGAGAGATGATGCGCAACCCCAGCCTCCGTGCCAAGCTCATCTCTTCCCCAAGCAACTTCAACCACCTGGTCCATGTCGGGCCGAGCGAAAAGCAGCGCCAGCTACAGGACCTACACTCGGTGAGTAAGCACAATTTGGCTAGCCTTTGCTTCTATTATTCAGTTGCAGACTCGGGTAGCCGATGGCAGAAACACAGATTTCTAAGTGAATCTGTGACTCTGCGAGCAACTCAATCTGCCTGCCTGCTTTGCCTGATTTTGGGTGAAAGTTGCTCTTTTTTTAAAATAAACAATTCAATATTTACATGCATGGTGTGTTGTGAATTAATTTTGTGAGTTGGCTTGCTAACAATTTTTTTTTTAAAACAAACTTTATTCAGTTTTTCACATTAAAAACAAAAATCTCTTTTTAGTGGACAACATATTTCCGGGTCATCACCGTTACATACAAATATGACAGCAATTATACATTGATATATGCATACTTAATTCTATTATTACTTTTTCCATTCCAAATTTTCAGTAAGGAGAGAAACAAACACATTAATTCTAGCCTCTTTCATTAATCTCAATCGAAACATCTTTTTGTTTCATTTCAATTATTTCAAATATAATCCTTTAGTATTTATTTTTAAATATAAAGATAAACAATATGTGTTTGCCTAATAATAATAATAAAGTTTAATTCTAAGTTCTTTCATTAATCTCAATCTAAACATCTTTTTATTTCATTTCAATTATTTCAAATAGAATCCTTTAATATTTATTTTAAAAATAAAAATAAACAATATATATTTGCCTAATAGTAGTAATAATAAATTTACCAATGTCTCTCCTTGCTTTTAATAATCTATATTAAACGTATTAATTTAGCTGGTTCTTTAGTCTGTCATATTCCCTTTCCATTACACTTTTTTTTAAAATTCTAGATTAATACAAGTTTTAACACACACACACACAAAGAAAAAAGAACAAGTATAGGTTTCCCCCCTTTTACTATTTTGAGTGTGACACCTTAATGGTTAGAATATACCTTTATTCCCTCATCTTAATTCCCAATAAACCATTAATCATTACATCTTTTCATTTGGATTCCACAGCATATTTTACCCCCCCTTAATTTTTAATAAGAGTATCTATATTACCCTATTTTCTAAATATTTTTAATTGCAGAAATATTCTTATTACCCCTTGTCACCCTGCAGGATCCCCTTTTTAATTCATCAACCATTATCTCTGAAAAAACAATTTCTTTTCAACATTTTACTATTTCCTTATTTCTTTATTTCATGCACCTGTTTCTTGCTGCTTCTCCCTCCCCCTCTTTTCCCCATGTCTTTTCTCATTCCAGTTTATCTCTCTCTCTTTCTTAATATCTTCCTTTCCCCTTTTCTGCTGAGTCTTCCTGCCTTTCCTGACTTCACAGGTATTCCCTCTTTTAATTGCCTTCTTAAATCTCAACTTTTTAACTAACTTCCTTCTTTCCCCACTTCTTTGTAGTGTTCTTTGTGTTGTCTATTTAAAATGTCTTCTCCTTGAGTCGACTCCTCCTCCTCTGAAGCTCTTCCTTCTTGTTCTTCAATCACCATTTCCATTTTTTCTAACACAGAGCAAAGTGATTCGCCTCTTTCCTGTAGTAATTCTCTCATATTTTTAAGTTCCATTTTTAATTCCCGAAGAGAATCATCATTCTTATATTTTATGATCGTTAAAGTCCACAAAAAGAAACCACTTTTACTTTCCTTCTTTCTTCTTTCAGTTTTTTAAGGTTCTTTAAGGGGAAAAAGGTGAAGACTTTGTATAATGGAGAGTGTCACCTTTTGATAAAAATTTGGCTCAAATAAAAGGGAAAGCATCCTGTTTTTGAATGAACTGGTGTGGATATAACATTACAGAAATATTGAAACAAAGTAAGAATTTTAGAAAGTGAAAGCAGAACCAGAATAAAGGAAAAAGCAAGGAAAGATTGTTTGTGGGACTGATTGACGTTTTTGGTATAAACCCTGGACTGGAATGGCTTGCTAACAAATTTTATGTGACAGACTCAGATAGCCGATGGCAGAAACACAGATCTCTCAAGTGATTCTGTGAGCAACTCAACCTGCCTGCCCGCTTTGCCTGATTTTGGGTAAAAGTTGCTCTTTCTTTTATAAAAAATTCAATATTGACATAAATATTTATAATATTTACATACAAGCCATGCCCAGCCAGTCACATGACCACCAAGCCACACCCACAAATTAGGCCACACCCACAAAACCAGTTAGTGGTCCCTGGGATCTAAAATTATGAGTTTCGTGGTTCCTGAGGTCCAAACGTTTGGTGACCCCTGGACTAGATGACCTTCCAGGGTACCTTCCAGCTCTATTGTGATTGATTGATCTTAAAATTATGCTTTATTCTGCATGCAAGGACGGGGCATTTCTTAAACTGCTTCTGTAAACAATTCCAAGCCTGTTGTTTATTCTCCACCCTCCTCCTTAACCCTGTTTCCAGGCGCAGGAAGAGAAGAAGGAGGCCGACGTCCGAATGCGCTGCAGCAGCCTCTCCGAGATGCGACGGCCGTCACCTGAGGGCCACAACGGGATAACCCCTTTGGGGTCTGTTTCCTCCCGTAAGGATCACAAGGGCCCCTTGGGATGTGGGGGGGAGGGGGCCTTTTAGGGGCTCCTAGAACCAGTGGGGTGGGCAGTACGGGGGGAGCCCTCAACTTACGAGCACAATTGAGCCCAACATTGGTGGCTAAGTGAGTTTTACGCCCCGTTTTGCAACTTGTCTTGCCACAGTGGTTAAATGAACCACTTTGCAGGGGATAACTTAGTCACAAACACGGTTCTTAAGTGAATCTGGCTCGCTTGTCAGAAGAAGGTTGCACCCTGGACACTGCAACCATCATAAATATGAGCCAGTTGCCAAGCGTGCAAATTTTGATCATGTGACCATAAGGTTGCTGAAGTCTGAAAAAAACGTCCTTAAGTCACTTTGAAGCTTTCGATGCCCTTGTAACTTCAAAACAACCATATTGTAAGTCAAGGACTAACTATAGTTACAGGTGTGGTCTTCCCACTCAGCCTTCCGGCTGCATGGACTTCAAATCCCAGAATTCTCAGTAGCAGCCGTGCTCAATTCTGGGAATTGAAGCCCACTGTTGTATAAACAGAGGCATAGACTCAAAATCAGGTGAAGTATTAGTCTACAATGTTATAAAGCCTTACATGTGGAATACGGCAACCAATTTTGGTCACCACATTACAAAAAAAAACAGATGTTGAAACTTTGGAAAAATTTCAGAGAAGAGCAACTAAGATGATCAAAGGCCTGGAGACTAAAACACAGGAAGAACGGTTGCAGGAACTGGGCCTGGCTATTTAGTGAAGAAAGGGGAGACATGATAGCAGCCTCCCAATATTTGAGGGGCTGCCCCAGAGGAGGAGGAAGTGGGTCAAACTATTTTCCAAAGCACTTGGAGGCAGACAAGGAAGAATGGATGAAAACTGAACAAGGAGAAATTCAGCCTGGAAATAAGGAGAAACTTTGTAAAAGTGAGGACAATTATACCAGTGGGACAGCTTGTCTCCAGAAATCGTGGGAGCTCCATCACTGGAGGTTTTGAAGAAGAGTTTAGACAGTCACTTATCTGAAATATTACAGGTTCTTCTGCTTGAGCAGGGGGCTGGACTAGAAGACCTCCAAGGTCCCTTCCAACTCTATTCTGTTCTGTTCTATTCAACCATATTTCTATAGCATTCTATTCCATATTATTCTATATTATTCTATTCCATTTTATTGTTATTCTATTCTATATTATTCTATCCCTATATTATTCTACATCAGGTGTCGCCAACCTTTTGGACCTCAGGGAACTCATAATTTTAAATCCCAGGGACCACTAACTAGTTCTGTGGGCGTGGCCTAATTTGTGGGTGTGGCTTGGTGGTCATGTGACTAGCTGGGCATGGCTTGTATGTAAATATAAATATTTATATAAATATTGATTTTTTTTATAAAAAAAAGAGCAACTTTCACCCAAAATCAGGCAAAGCAGGCAGGCAGATTGAGTTGCTCACAGAATCACAGATTCACTTAGAGATCTGTGTTTCTGCCATCGGCTACCTGAGTCTGCACTGCTTTAGTCCTAAGGGAGGTTCGGCTGTGCTTAAAAGCATAACTGAAGATCTAAAGATCAGCTAGAAAGCAAGAAATCCAACCGTTTCCTGCTTCCTAGCTAATCTAAATCTCCAGGCACAGCAGAACAGATGATGGTCGGAAAATGGAAAAATAGCAATTTTGCAGGCAAGTTTGCCGGGTAAGGAGTGAGTGGGCGGGGAGGGTTCCCGGGGACCATGTGGGCGGTGCAGCCTTGTGTTTCTGTGCAGCCTGGATTAATTGCTTTGGGGGGGGGTGCTCTGGGGGTGAGATTTCTCTGCGGCCCACCAAAATTTTCTCGCACTGGTTGGCAACTTCTGTTCTACATTATTCTATTCTATTCCTTCCAATATCTATTTTATTCTATTCTACGTTGTCCTATTCCTATTCCTATTCCAGTCTAGTCTCTTCTATATTCTATTCTATTCCTCAAGGGCCTCTTTTGGAAGGAAATGCCGCCTGCAGATCTAGTCTCATGCTAATTGCCTTCTCTATTTTCTCGTCACACAGTAAGACTCAAGTCAGCCAGCTCGACCTCTGACAACTCCTCGGTGTCTCCACAATCTTTCTTCTCTGGCGTTTCGTCACTGGGAGAGGTAAGGGACGGCAACGAGGGAAAACGCGAGTGCGGAACTGGGTTTTTTTCTTGACGTGCCCCAAGTGCGTTTGCAGTGGTTGAGAAGAGCTTCCCCCCCCAAAAAAAACCCCAATGCAATCCTAAATTGCATTAACAGAGGGACAGAATCAAGATCACACGAAGTGCTGGTACCACTTTACAAAGCCTTAGTAAGACCACACTTGGAATACTGCATTCGGTTTTGGTCATCACAATATTAAAAAAAAATAGACGTTGAGAATCTAGAAAGAGGGCAGAGAAGAGCAACAGGATTTCAGGATTGGAGACTAAATTACCTTGTTCCCCTGAAAATAAGACCTTGTCTTATATTTTTGTTGCCACCCAAAATGGCACCAGGTCTTATTTTTGAGGGGATATTCATCCAACTGTCACTTGCGCGCGTTGCCCCGGCCTCCTTTTCGCTGTGGAGGTCTTCAGAAAGTCTGCAGCCGGCAAGGCTTTCCTGAAGGCCTCTGCAAGCGGATAGGATCGATCCAGAGCTTTGTTACCAGCTCCAGAGGCCTTCAGGGAAGCCTTGCCAGCCTTACCGGCTGCAGAAGAAATGGGCCGGCCAGGCAGGTTGTCGTGGGTGTGCGAGGCCTGGCTACAACTGTCCAAAGTAGTAGGGCGGCTTCAGCCACCCCCATCCCACCCTAGCTTAATTTTTACCTGCCCGCTCTGGAGTGTGTGGGATCTTAATTAGGGCTTATTTGGGGCTCACATAAAAAAAAATGTATCAAGCTAGGACTTACTTTCAGTGTAGGTCGTATTTTCAGGGTATATGATGAGCGGTTGCCGGAATTGGGAATGTCTAATAAAGGGAAGGACGAGGGCGGCATAATAACTGTCTTCCACCACTTGGGGGGCTGCCCCACAGAAGAGGGGGCTCATCCTATTCCCCAAAGCACCCGAAGGCAGGACAAGAAACAACGGATGGAAACTTGTCAAGGAGAGAAGCAACCTGGAACGAAGGAGATAATTTCCTGACCGTTGGAACAATTCACTAGCGCAATGGCTTCCCTCCAGAAGTTGTGCAGGGCTCCATCCTTGGAGGCTTTTTAAAAGATTGGACGCTCACTTGTCTGGAATGGTCTAGGGCAGGGGTATCAAACTCAAGAAGGGGCCTGTGGAGGGGCTTCAATTGGACCCACGGGGCTGGCCTGAAAAGACCAAAGGACCGGCCCGCAGTGCTTCCGCTAAGGAAAATTGAGCGTGGCCGGGGTGTGTGTGGGTGTGCAGCCCCCTCAGCCTGGACGGCCTCCTGCAACACTCTTGTCATCCAATACAGGGCACGGGGGGGGGGGGGGGCCCCCCCCCCCCCCCGGCCCCCCTTTTGGCCGGCAAAAGGGGGGGGGGGGCGGTTTTTCCGGCCCCCCCCCCCCCCCCCCCCGGCTGGGCCGCGGAGAGCTACAAGGCTGATCCGAACCCTCAAAGAAATCCCGTTTGACACTCCCCGGTCTAGGACCGTGGTTGCCAAGCCGTGGGCTGGGGACCACTGGTGGTGGTCCGTGAGAAGATTTTGGTGGTCCGCAGAGAAATGTCCCCCCCCCCTCAAAAGCAATTAATCCAGGCTGCGCCGTCCACATAGCTACTGGCCCCCAACCCTTTGGCCCAGCACAAACCTTGAGTGGAGCCATGCAAACTGGAATTGGAAGCTAAGTCCAACGGCGGGGGAGGGAAATCCGCCCCGGGGTGGCTTGCTGATGTTGGTGGGAAAGTCGGTCCCCTATTCCAGAGGTGCAGGAGTCTCACAGGACTGGCCCTTTGGTCCTCCTGGAGCAGCAGTCCATGGCAGGCCGGTGCACCCGGGTTGAGGAACAGCTGCTCCGGGGTGACCAAAGGGCCAGTCCTGTGAGACTCCTGCACCTCTGGAATAGGGGACCGACTTTCCCACCAACGTCAGCAAGCCACCGTCAGTCAAAATCCATATTGGTGGCCCGCGGGATTTAAAATTACGAGTTTGGTGGCCCCTGAGGTTCAAAAGGTTGGCGGCCCCTGGTCTAGGGTCTCCTGCTCGTGCAGGGGGTTAGACTAGAAGACCTCCAAGCTCCCTTCCGACTCCTCGTTATGTTCCTGTCGGGATTTCTTCTCTTAAATCAATACAACCCAGGTCGGTTCCCTCTTAAGATCTTGCTCCTTCCCTCCCCCACACACAAAACAGGTCTCAGATTCGAGTCTTCGGTCCAGCCCAAGGAGCACCAGCACCACATGACAGAAGAGGGCCCGGGGCTACCAGTGCCCAGCCGGACCACGTGTGAAATGAGCCCGCCGGTGCCAGTTTGCAACAGACCATCCAGCTCGTTTTGACGTACCTGCTTGCTATCATCCAAGGAAGGGGAGGCGAGGAAGGACGGTCAGTGGCCGGACCCTGGGTCGGCTGCGGGAAAGCCACACCCCTGTGCTGCACTTAAACCCTATGGTGGGAGAGTGGATCTGTGTCCCTCCTGCACTCCTCCTTCCATTGATCTTTGAACCTTGGAGAACACAAGAACCGCTGCCGCTGCGTGGATCCCGCTGCCGACACCAATTCTCCCCTGCCCTGCTTGTTGCACAAATAGCCATGGGGTCAAGACACTTTTTAAAGACCTTTTTAATGTTTACTTTAAAAAAAAACAAAAAAAAGCTAAGCTATTGCCAGCCATATCCTAAACAGGAGGAGGTTAACCTCTGGGTGAATGCACATTAAAAAGAAAACCAAACCAAACCACACGAACTGTCTGAAGGGCTGTTTCTTGAAATAATTCCGGAGTAACTTGAGAAGTAACAGAAGGTCGAGGGTGTTTTTTTTCCCTAGCCTGAATTTTGCCAAACTTTCAGCCCAGACCTTTGAATTAAGGGTGTAAAAGCAGTACGAACCATCTCCTTAAAGAGTCGTTTGCAAGCTATTTTACTAAAAGGAAAAAACAAAACACGAGAGGGATTCAGATTCTCGTTGCTGAGCCCCCCCAGCCATAATTCTCAGCAGCCCTGAGGGAGAAAAACAAACTATGCCTCCACCACCACCTTGGCTGCCGAAAACCAGTCAAATGGCAAGATTTAGGCCTGTAAAAGGGGGGCAGGGAGGGAAAAATGCATCCCTTTTTCCTTCTTGGAATTAACCCGTTTTCCAGATTTGCAAACTGCCACACCGAGGCAGCTGCACTTTGCCGGCACAGCCACACCCCAAGGATTAAGCCAAGTTTAGCTAAGTTTGCCATGTCGAGCAAAGGCAGGTGTTTGGTTTGTATGGTTTGCAGAAACCAAGACTGGGTGGGGGGGAGAGAGAGAGAGAGAGGGAGACATACAGAGAGAGAAGAAAGAGAGACAGGGAAAAATAGAGAAAAAGACACAGATAGAGATAGACAGCGAGAGGCAGAGACGCAGATAGAGAGTGTGTGTGAGACAGAGACAAACAGTGAAAAATAGAGAAAAAGACAGAAAGAGAAAGAGACAATGAGAGGCAGAGACACAGAGACACACCGAGACAGAGGGAGACAGTGAGACAGAGACAGAGTGAAAAATAGAGAAAAAAGACAGACAGAAAAAGAGGCAGTGAGAGAGACAGAGACAGAGACACACAGAGTGAGACAAAAAGAGACACAGTGAAAAAGAGACAGACAGAAAGAGGCAGAGACAGATACATACACAAAGAGAGACAGAGTGAGACAAAAAGACAGTGAAAAATAGAGAAAAAGAGAGAGAGAGAGAGAGATACAGAGAGAGAGAGAGAGAGAGAGAGATGGGCCAGGGATTGTGGGAATCTTTGCAGCTTTTCATTCATAATTTATTTCTCTGCTTCCCTGTCAGCTGATGAAACAGGCATGGATTATCACCTGCGCACGCACAGCCACATGCACTCACACGCACACGTCCGCCTGGTACTTCACCTCTGTGCAAGTCTCGTTTTCTTTGCACACAGACAAAAGAGACCACGGAATCCAAACCCTCTCCCCACCCCCCACCCAAGCCTTCCGGAAGTCCATCTTGAAACCAGAGAAATCGGCCCCCAGGTTGCCAAGGAAGGTGGGACGCAGGTAGACCTGGTCCACGCGGGTGGCAGTCGCCACGTCAGAGCGAGACCGGAGGGAGGGAGCCCCCCCACCTTTCAAAACTGGGTTGGGGAGCCAGAGTTGTAAGACGCTTCGCCGCCTCCTTGCAGTCTCTTGGAAGGCATCGAGCTGTCCTAACGTGAAAAGAAGAAGAAGAAGAAGGAGGGAAAAAAGAACACGGCGTGGGGCAGAGTGTCAGTCCAATTTCCTGACCCCCAACTTCATAGGTCCCTTGGCGGCTTTTTTCTCGGCTCGTCGGGCTTCTATTTCCTGGCGCCTCTCTTCTCTTTTCTTCCGTGCCAGATCCGTCTTGCTGGGACCTGCAGATCCGGGAAAGAAAAAGCAAGTGGCCAGAGAGTCCGAATGAACGTAGCCAGGGCGGAGAAGAATAGAATTAGAATTGGAATTGGAATAGGAATAATAAGAAGAATAGAATGGAATGGAATAGAAAGGAATAGATAGGAATAGAAAGCTCTTGTGATGACCCAGGGCGGGATACAAAACAAACACAGTCATAGGAAACAGGAGAAGCCCCTATATTCCTTCACTTTGCTTCCAAGCTCCAAATATCTTTGAATAACTCCCACACAGTTACACAAAGAAGGAAAAAAGCAACACAAACCAGGCAAGGATAAGGGCTGGAGGACGTCCACAGATAACACACACTGGGAAGGCGCCAAACTCAAGAGAGGAACCATAAACTAGAGATATTTACACGATTTGTTTCCAGCATTTGCCAATACGCAGGTCCAAACTCTTATTCAGTTGTCACAGCTGCAGCCCATGAAGGGGATCAAGGCCCTCTCCTCCCCCGTCGACCACGTCTTTCCCTTATCCTCTTCTCCCTGCGTGCCCTAGAATGGAGAGGGGATGGGCCTGGGTCCTCCAGGGGCATGACAGCTATCTATATATAAGCGAAAGGCCACTCACGCATCATCACAAAATCTCCAGAACCGTCAAACCTATAAACTTGAAATTTGGCACGTAGGTTTCCTCTTGGCTTCTAAGTGCTCACAAAGAAAGGATTTTTCCAAATGACCATCAAAGCATTTAGAATATTTCCATTATTATTATTATTATTATTATTATTATTATTATTATTATTATTATTATTATTATTATTACACTCTGATGCTAAGGAGTTTCACTCCCCCTCCCCACCTGAAAAGAAATCTCTTCCAAATGCAAAACACAAGCAGAGGAGTTTCAGTTTTAGTTTCACAACCCCAAGCAGCTTTAGTATAGAACAGTTCAGCTAAGCCACACCCAGGCTCCTTGCTGTCTCCACCTTGCTCACCCAGCAAATATTGTTTCAGTTTCCAAACAGCCCTCAACCCTCTCACGAACCGACAAGACGCTAGCCTCCCCCCACCCCCTAATTTTCCTCCCAAAAAACTAAGCCCGACCACATAGTTTTGTAGTGAAGCACGGGTATCGAGCTAGTTATAGAATAGGAATAAAATGGAATAGAATGAAATGAAATAGGAATAATAATAATAATAGGAGTAGAAATAATAGAAATAGGAATAGAATAAGAATAGAATAGGAATAGAATGGAATGGAATAGGAATAAGAATAATAGGAATAAGAATAATAGGAACAGAAATAATAGGAAAAGGAATAATAGAAATAGGAACAGAATAAGAATAGAATAGGAATAATAATTGAATTGGAATTGAATTGAATTGAATACTTTATTTGGCCACGTGTGATCAGACAGCCAAAGAAAACACTGTGAAGCGGGATATAAGTCTAAGTGCTGTTGCTATTGCTGAAACAGGGCAAAACTCACTTAACAAATGTTTCAGCAACAGAAAGTTTGGGCTCCATTGAGGTCATACATTGAGGACTACCTGAACTACATCCATACTACACGAGTAAATGGGAAGGAACCGTACCTGGATCGGAGTCCGGTGTGGCCCAGTTTTCCTCAAAGGTCCACTCACGCAAGGCATCGGCGTTTTTCTAAGAAAACACGAGAATACACGGGTTTTTAAAGGCTGGCCTGGCATTTATACCACCCGACAACTCTACATTGGAGGTTGAGGGTGCGATTGCGATCAGGTCAATCTTTAAGAGGAGAAGAAGTTGCATTTCTTAACATTTCGAGTCCCTGGGTTGTGGCCTCTTGGCCACCGGCCCCTGCAGCAGCCAAATCAGAGGAGGAGGAGGAGGAGCCATGGGAATTAGAGTCAACATCTGGGTAAACTGGGAGCTCCGAGGGGGAAGAGGGAATGGAGTTGGCAGAGAGGGATCCAGGGGCAGAGCCTGGGCCGTCCATCAGCCCTCAGATGGAGAGTCCACAGCCCCCAGGTCTGGAGGTGGCTGATGAGGAAGAGGAGGAACAGCCGGGTCCAGTGCCTGACGCGCAGATGCACAGAAGGCAGAGGAGAGGAGAGCAGTGGAAATCTATGGGCCGGTCCTTGGGACGAAAGAACCATTGCTCTGCTAGTGAACCCCCACCCTAGCTCTGGGGATAAATGTCGTGTTTGGGGGGTCAGATCAACCTGTGGCTCAGCAAAAAGCTGATCTTAACCCCTGTTTTATCCATGCAAAGATATTGAGCGACTGGGTTTACTGAATGGAGCAGTTTAACTAGGATTTACTGAGTGAAACTCAAGTGGCTGCATCCTCACATCTGGCTAAGCAATGAAACAGGGTTTACTAAACATCATGGCTAACTTCACAAAGGAGGCTGTTGAAGCTACATGCTAAACCAGGATTAACCAGACACCATGGTTATATTCATAGAACAGGGACGTCCAAACTGATGGATTGTATTAAGATGAAAACCTGTGGTTTGTGAAGTGTTGAAATACAGGCTGGGCTTCTTTCAAACTAAACGTTTGTACGTGAAACCAGACTTAATAGCAGCAACTGTGAAAGGGATCTTGGGAGTCTTAGGGGACAACCAGTTAAATAGGAGCCAGCCGTGTGCAGCAGCAGCCAAAAAAGCCAATGCAATCCTAAGTTGCATTAACAGAGGGATACAATCAAGATCAAGGGAGGTACTAATACCACTCTGCAAAGCCTGAGTAAGACCACACCTAGAGTACTGCACCCAGTTTTGGTTACCACGCTATAAACAAAGAGATTGAGACTCTAGAAAGAGTGCAGAGAAGAGCAACCAGGATGATGAGGGGACTGGAGGCTAAAACATGCAATGAACGGTTGCAGGAACTGGGCCTGGCTAGTCTAGTGGGGAGAAGAACCAGGGGAGACAGGAGAGCAGCCTTCCAATATTTGAGGGGCTGCCAGAGACAGGAGGAGGGGATCAAGCTATTTACTAAAGGGTCTGTAGGCCAGACAAGGAATAATAGATGGAAACTGAACAAGGAGAGATTCAACCCAGAAATAAGGAGGAATTTTCTGTCAGGGAGAACAATCCACCCATGGAACAGAAGTTGCCTTGGGAAGTTGTGGGAGCTTCATCAATGGAGGCATTCAAGAAGAGATTGGACTGCCACCTGTCAGAAATGGTGTAGGGTCTCCTGCTTGGGTGGGGGGTTGGACTAGATGACCCCCATGGTCCCTTCCAACTCTGTTAATCTGTACCTGGTATCTAACTAACTTCATGTGTGACGTGAACCCAACCAACCAAGGCTAGTAAACCATCCCAATCACCTTCTGGCTCAAAGCAAAGTGAATACCCAGCCTCTGTCTCCTTCCCCGATGCCACTTTCAGCAGTTACAGGTAGCCCTCGATTCATTTAGCGACCACCCATGATGAACCTGACCAATGGTTTAATCCACCCAACTGAGGCTGCATCCCCGGCTGCCGCCACCCACCTGCCTCTCCGACGTTGGCTTCTCAGGCAGGCAGGAAAACAGATCGGATTTGTCCCCGGAGCCGATGCTGCCCCAGTTATATTCACTCGCCGGTTTGATGTCTTGGTGGGCTGCAGCTGCTTTGGTGCCGAGGCTGGAAGGCAGCGGATCCATGGGGGAAGCCGCCCCCTTTTTGGGGCTCCAGGTCGGCTCCAGATCCCAGGCGGAGCTGCTCCAGTCCGAGTCCTGCCTGTCGGAGGCTGTGGTGGGAACCTACGAAATGGAAGACAAAAGCCCCCGTCTGTGCAAAATCTATTCTAGAGAAATGTTTAAAAAGGGAATTTTCTACCATTTCCCCAAAAATAAGTCCTAGCTTGATTTTTACACATGCGCCCAATATAAGCCCTACCCCCCAAATAAGCCCTAATTAAGATCCCCCTCACTCCAGAGTGGACGGGAAAACATTAAGCTAAGGTGGGGATGGAAGGGGGAGCTGCCCTCCTACTTACCTTTGGACAGTCGTAGCCAGGCCTCGCACACCTCAACACCTGCCCTGCCGGCCCATCTCTTCTGCAGCCGGCAAGGCTGGGTAAGGCTTCCCTGAAGGCCTCTGGAGCTGAGAACAAAGCTCTGGATCGATCCTGAGCTCTCTTATCGGCTGCGGAGGCCTTGCTGGCTGCAGAAGAAGAAGTTCCCGAAGGCCTCTAGACAGCGAAAAGGAGGCCGGGGGGGGGGCAAATGCACACAAGTTAGGTGGAGGACATCCCTGAAAATAAGACCTGGTGCCTTTTTTGGTGGCAACAAAAATATAAGACAGCTTCTTATTTACGGGGGAAATACGGTAGTCCTCATGAAAGAGGTTCAGGGCAGAAACTTCTGGAACAAAGAAACAAGGGTCAGCTTTAAAATTCAGCTGCCACATTTTTTTTAAGAGAGTTGGAGGAGTTGAAAAGTTCCAAGGTTATTCCGTAGGTCGTATTAAGAAATTCCAGTGGCCGTTAATTGGTTCTCGTGATTTATGAAGTGTGGATTCTTTTTAAACATTCTTTTTAAATCATTGAGAGCCTTATTTGCTTTACAAACAAATATTCCACTACACATCAATAGAATTTTTTTCTATCACTTTAACCATCTAACATATTTTCTAACCCTTCTCTATTTCTAATATAACAATGCTATCCCGTGCACCCTTGCAGAATCCTCTCCTGAAGTTAAATTTTAACCATTGTCTCTGTGTCTTTTAAATAGGTTTATACCTTTAATTCTTGTTTGTTTTTCCTGTACCTCTATATCTTGTTTCTGTCTTTTGTAGCTTCTTTTCCTTTCCCTCTTCCCTCTCTTCTTCTCCCTTTTCTATCTGATTCTCCCTTCTGTGATCCTCCCTTCTGCTTCTTCCTGATATTATGATTACTTTTCAAATTACTCTATTTTTTGGTTGTTGCTTCAACGCTTAAGTTTTTAACTCCCTTTCCCCTCTTTCCCTTTTTTACCCCACTTAAAATTGCTTGGTCATTGAAGATGGCTTCTTCGTTGTCCCGCCCTTCTAGTTCTGCCAGCGTTTCTTGTTGTTTTTCATAGTTCAAGATCTCCATTTCTAAAACTTGAAATACAAAGCCAAAAGATCCTCTTCCGTCTTGTGCTTCTTCTTTTCGTTCTTTAAGTCTCATTTTTAACTCTTCAAGGAGTGATGCCATTTTAAAAAAAATTAAACAACCCCCAATTGATTTTATTTTATTTCATTAGGATCCTCCATCCAAAGTTCCAGGAATCATCCAATAATCCAAAATGATTTCTTGCTTCTTTTCTCAATTTCTCTTTCCAGGGGCTTTGTTGTCTTGTAACAAAGTTTCAGCTACAAATGAATCTTTTGCAAGCCTTGTTAAAATTCCACCATCAATTTTTTTTAAGTTCCAGGTGGTTTCCTCCATTTTCCAGATTCCACCCTCTTTTTTCCTTTTTCCCTCCACTGCTTTCTTTCTTTTTTTTAAAGAAAGTTTTTAAATTATCCAAGAATCTTTATCCCTTTGACACTTTATTTTCAGCTAGAAATAGCCTATTAATGTCAAAGTGGATTAGTATCAATTTCTTACTCGAATCTCTTCTTCTTAATGTTCCAAGTCAGTTAAAACTGTCGATGTTAAGAGGAAAAAAAGCCAGTTCCGTTTCTTTTCCCTTTCTCTTTCGCAGCTTAAAATCTTTTTTAGGAATAGTATAAGTCTTTAAAATTCAGGTTCCAGGTACCTTAAATAGATGTTCTCCATTCAACCTGGTCAGTCAAACTTTCTCCTTTAAACTTCCTCCTGCACAATCTTGTCCCGTTGGGTTCTTCTTTGAGGTGGCCATTTCTGACCACCGCTGCAATTGCCTTTGGGAAAGGGAGTAATGGCCAGCCGAGGAGGAGAGATGCGGCTCTCCTCAACCCCGCTGACGGCTCCCCCTTCTTCATCACCTCTACAGGGTGGCTTCAGCCCTGAATCCGGGCAGCTTGGGGCGCTCCAGCGGTGAGCACAGATCAAAACCGCGGACAATCGTGATTTTGCTCCGCCGCCGAAGAAACCCAAACCGGAAGTCGAGAGAAGGTGGATTCTGTGTAACAGCGCGAAAATAATTTCACTTGGGAAATTGCCTTTGACATGCCAGATCTGTTTCTAAATAAATCAATTGGAGAGAAATGTCTCGGAGTGATTGATATCATGGATACTTTCTGGATGCCTCACAACAAGGGGGCTTTTCTGTATCGTTTCCAGAGGTCTGAGGGGGACACTCGCCCCACAGTTGCCTTGTTATCCTTGGGACATTCCCCCCAATGTCCCCCAACCTACCGGGACGTATTTTGGTACTTCGCAGTCTAGCCTACTGCTATGGCTCACCCTGTGGTCTCCCATCCCAAACTTCTGAAGTCCCACTCTGCCATCTGCTGGTATGTCATTCTAACTACACCTGTGGAGAATGAGGAACCCAAAGAAGGGAAACAGGGAGCTAGTTTGAGGCTGCCTGAAGCAGACTTACTGTCCTACCGCCGAGATTCTCAGCTGGTTCCGACCAGCTGGAGCTGTTCCAGTCATCTGGGCTGGGCTGCCTCTTTGTTTGCTCTGTTTCTTGCTGTTGACACAAAGAGAAAGAGACATTCAGTTGTGTAGCACCCACAGCCACTGCAGTTCATTTGCTGTTCCCTTCCAAAACCTTTCTTTCTCTAAGACCCTATCTATTTGTCTGTCTGTCTGTCTGTCTGTCTGTCTGTCTGTCTGTCTGTCTGTCTATCTATCTATCTATCTCTCTCTCTCTCTCTCTCTCTCTCTCTCTCTGTCATCTATATCTATTTATCTATTTATATCTATCTACCTATCTATCTAATCTATCTATCGTCTATATCTATCTCTATTATCAATATCTATATCATCTCTATCTCTCTATTTATCTATCTCTATCATCTCTATCTCTCTATCTCTATCATCTCTATCATCTCTATAACTACCTATATCATCTATCTCTATCATCTATCTATCTCTATCACCTACATCTATCTCTATCT